TGGGACTCAACATCGGAGAAATATCAGGGAAATTCTGGGGAATAGGTCCTCAGATGGTTCCATGGAAAAAAGTTCCCAACTATGTTTACTGGGCCCCCCCCCCATTGGACAAAGTCCTGTGTATATCCCTGCAGTGTAAGATTTGTTCGATACGAAGTGGCTTTTTTAAATAGTTTGAAGTAAGAATATGTTGATTTTTCAGTTTTTATGTTTTGCTCATACAACAACTTCATTTCTTCTTCCTGCGCTCTCCATTATCTCATACATGATTTTTACTTTTATGAACTTTTGTTGCAGACTTCCAACCAGTGCAAGTTTTTTTTGAGACCCCCCCCCCCCCTTCAATAATTTCCCTATTTTGAAAAAAGGATAGAAGACACAATTGCATTTCAGCTGTCAGATTTAAGTGTGACAAAAATAAAGGGTTTTTTTTCTCCAGAATCTGCAGTAACCAAAAAAACGTTTGTTATAGGTATGGGTCTCATTCATCAATAAGATAAGATTTTATGAACAGGGAAAATATATGAATATAATTCTTAATGTCGTCTTCCTATTCCAGAGTTTTCTGATAATCACTGTTTAATACCATACAAAACATAAAATTCAAGCAAAATTAAATTGTTTTAATGACAAAATTATAGAAGTTTTTTCTGAAACATCAAATTCAAGATTAAATTACTAGTTTTAATAATAATTTATAATTGGTTTTCTATTTAAGATCAAACTCATGCTAAAATTATAGAAGAGATTATGAAAGTTGCGATAGGGAATTCTTTCTCATTTTTTAGATTTAGCAAAATAATGACAAAAGGTAAATTGTAAAGTCTATTTTCAACTATGAATGGGAGATTTATGTTATATTTTAAGAAAATTGCCAAATTTAGTTTTTTTCCCTCTTTTGTTTTATATTAGCCTTTTAGGTGCAATTGCAGTTTAAATTCCCAGAGGAAGGGGGGCTTAGGGAGGTAATACTTTACTCAAGGATACCAACTTATCTGTGCCCCCCCCCCTTGACATTTCTAAACCGACTTAAAAAGATCGTTTTGATCTTTGAAATAATTTATGGCATTTATTCGTAAACAAAATATTTAGAAGTAAAATTCTTGAGTTAATAGTTGGGCTGGGCTAAGTTTCGTTAACAACAAAACGAAGGTTTTTTGAAAATTAACGGAATAATCTGTTAACGAACGGAAAAACCTTAAACGAACCGGATTGGTTTTTTAAAAATCGTTCATTTTTCTGCTAAAATTGCACGAAATTTGCAAAAACAAAAAAATAGATGTATTTTGATGTTTTTACATGTTGTCTTCAGTCCCCCACCCCTATTTATCAAAGTTAATAAATACTTAATCACTTTGCCTATTTATATGATGGAAGTTTTAGAGATTTTTTTGCTATTCGGTGACGGCTTGTGCGGTGTGCAGTGAATTCAATTTGATAAACTGGCCAAAGAAATCGATTTTTTATATTTTTCCAAAAAAAAATTTTTACAGAAGAATCATGTGAAAGAAGGTTGACGACTGAATGTCTCAAATAAATTCAAAGGTCAAAGAAAAATATCTTTATATACATGTTAACCCTATCCCTGCTGGGGTACTTGAAAACCAGGATATATGAACTCATTCAAATTTTCGCTTTTTCATGTAATAAGTAATATAATAATAATAATTTTAATAAGTAAAAATCCCTTGAAAATTAAGCCGCAAATTATAATAAGCAAAAATCCGGTTATTTGAAAAGATAAAAAAAACTAGTTTTATCGTAGGGTTTCCATTCACAAAACGTTGGCCCAACGAAACGCAAAATTTTTCTTTCGTTGCGTGACTCTTTTGTGCGAAAAAACAAAATTGCGCATTCATTCTCAAATTTCCAAATTTTGCGGAAAAATTATGATCGTCTCGTGGAAACGCTATTTTTTAGTCTTAAATAAAACAACTTTTGATAAAACAGACAAATGGACGCTTCAGTCAGCGGTTCAAGACACTTCTTTTGACACCCGGCCATATCATCAAGTTTTGAAAACAATTTAAACAGGTCCGTCCCTTACGTAAATTTGTAGATTGGCGGAACAGCGGTACAGCCTTGACTTAGGATCTTTGTTTTTTATCGTTAATTTTTAGATAATTTGATTTTTCAATTTTTTTCTCACGAAAATTTTGCTTCTAATTTGCATACTATATAATTTTTTGCAAGTGCAAAAAGGATTTGACAGTTTTGATGAAAATGATTAACCTTTATTTATCCGACATATATATATATACATATATGTATATATATGTTCTATAGAAATACATAAAGATATACATAATATCAATAAGATTATATTATAAATTATATATTTCAAGACTAAACGTTTATGATTAGTACGTACGCTAAAAAGACTAATGGGACAAACTAATAAGACTAATGTGGCTTGCCTTTAATACACAACCTAATAAACGCCCAAAGAGCCATATTTAACGATCATTATTCATAAATATAATTAACAATATTTACCATATTTAAGCATTTAAAATAATTAACTACAAACACATTTTGGTGTAATTTAGGGCAATATATTATGTTATTACAGGGTGTCCAAATAAAAATGAGAATTTGGAAAACGTCTAATTGTATATTATTTATTTATTAATGATTTAGTATAGCAATGCACTTTTAAAAGACGAAAGGTGTACTTCATAAATGATGTTTCGTCTACCATATTTTATGGAATTTGTTTGTCTTTGATTTGATACAATTCTATAAAACACAAACAACACGTTTAGCAGAATACCAATGCAGTCTTTTACCGACTACATAAGATAAACTCTAGCAGATATAATATTATTTTGACCATTGAAATTTATATGTATAGGCAATACAGCAGGAAGTGAATACTTGAATATGTTCTTGGCTTTTTAGAAACTCATTACAAAACTCCAATTGTGATTTGTCCCTCAAAAAAATATCAATGCATGGAAAAGTTGTTTCTCTGATTGTGAAAAATATTAAAAGATAATTTTCAACATTGAAATCAAAAGAGGATTAAAAACCGCAAATAAGTAGCGTCGTATTCTAGAGTCTGCAGAGAAGACCTACGCATCGTCCTCTCCTCTAACCTTAAACAGGCTGGGGGGGGGGGNCAACACACATAGACTGTACAGTGTACAGTGTACAGTACACAACACACATAGACTGTACAGTGTACAGTGTACAGTACACAACACACATAGACTGTACAGTGTACAGTGTACAGTACACAACACACATAGACTGTACAGTGTACAGTGTACAGTACACAACACACATAGACTGTACAGTGTACAGTGTACAGTACACAACACACATAGACTGTACAGTGTACAGTGTACAGTACACAACACACATAGACTGTACAGTGTACAGTGTACAGTACACAACACACATAGACTGTAAGACAAAACAGGACAATACACCAATGAACCATCCCCTGTCAGGGAAATTTATGCGAGTTACTATAAATATATAAAGAGTGGATCTAAAACTTTGGGGGTTGGTAAAAGCTAGGCATATTTTTATATTTGTAAGAACATGAAAATTACCTTTCTATACTGTATTCGACCGGACCTGATATGGGTCAAGGACTCAAGTTTATGTTTTATTTTTGTTTTAATCACGAGTCGAAGCACAAAACAAATACTTCTAGGAAAAAAACAAAAGTATATCTATTTATATTATTATTTATTAAACATACAGATTTTTAAAGTACAAATTTATATGAGATCTCACTGTTGCGTTGTCATAAGTATTTTATTGCGACATAATACAGGTTTTTATATGTTTTATTCATTTGTTTTTTCATCAAGAGCTGCCTCTTTAGAAACCATACCTGCACAGTTCATATTCAAAACGAATATTTAAAAAAATTTATCATGAAGTCCAAATAATAAGGATTATGTGCTTGGAGTCCATGGAGTCCTAATAAAAAGAATTATGACCTTGACATTCATGAACTCCTAATGATAAAGATTACGATGTTAGAGTTCATTGAGTTAGTTATAAGGATTAAGACGCCAGAGTTCATGAAGTCCAAATAATAAGGATTATGTGTTTGGAGTCCATGGAGTTCAAATAATAAGGATTTTGTGTTTGGAGTCCATAGAGTTCAAATGATAAGGATTATGTGTTTGGGGTCCATGGAGTTCAAATGATAAGGATTATGTGCTTGGAGTCCATGGAGTCCAAATAATAAGGATTATGACCTTGACATTCATGAAGTCCTAATGATAAAGATTACGATGTTAGAGTTCATTGAGTTCAAGTTATAAGGATTAAGATGCCAGAGTTCATGAAGTCCAAATAATAAGGATTATGTGTTTGGAGTCCATGGAGTTCAAATAATAAGGATTATTTGTTTGGAGTCCATAGAGTTCAAATGATAAGGATTATGTGCTTGGAGTCCATGGAGTTCAAATAATAAGGATTATGTGTTTGGGGTCCATGGAGTTCAAATGTAAGGATTATGTTCTTGGAGTCCATGGAGTCCAAATAATAAGAATTATGTGCGTGGAGTCCATGGAGTCCAAATAATAAGGATTATGACCTTGATATCAATGAAGTCCAAATAATAAAGATTACAAAGTTAGAGTCCATGTAGTCCAAAAACGAGGAAGTGAAAAAAATAACTTCAAAATAGCTAAATGGAGATAGTTGAAAAAGCCCCCCAAAATCATATTGAAAGTCTGAAAAATCGTTTTATCAGATTTCTTATGAAGTATTACATATTAATGGAAGGTTCCATCTGCTATAGGTCTGGCAAAACTCTAATCGTAAAAGGATAAAAATGAATGTTTGAATATTCCTGTGATGAAGAAGATTGCAACGAATGAAAGATATCCCACCAGAATTCCCTTCTTCAGTATCCATGTTATAACTCTAAGCTTCCTATTTCTTACCTCTTCAATATTCAACACACTAGGAAAAACAGTAATGTATTTTTGAAAAAAACTAAATTTAAAAATTAGAAAAATTTTTTAAGCAAGAGTGTGAGAGAATTTACAAAAAAAAATATTTTCTTCCTTTTTTTATTTTTCAAGTTTTTGCTGCACATCAGCTCCTCAAGAAACTTTTATAAAGAAACTGCAATTCAAAATGAACAATTTTAAGATTAAAAAGCAATGATATCTTTCCACATAGTACTGTTGTGAATCAGGTTGAAACTCTTTATAGGTTCACATGAAATTGTGCCAACACTTGTATACTAGTCCCAAGTTAAAAACAGCCTTAGCACGAAAAATATATCTAATCTCAAAGTTAGAATTTGTCACTTTGAGATTAAAAATAAGTATTGGTTCCCATATTTAAAAAAAAACTCACGTAAGTTATGTTGACAGTCTTTTCATTGAAATGTGTTAGATGCATTTTAAATATGTTTCTATCCAGTTTGTTTTTATTTTTCTATACAAGTAATAATATTAATGCATATTTCATTAAATAAAGTAGACACACAGTTAAACATTCAAAAGCATTGCATAAATTTACTTCATTTGAATGCAATAAGGTTTTCACCCAAATACTTGTTTCCTAAGGATATTGGCTTTTTAAAGGTTAAAAATAATTATAAATATTTTAAACTTTTGATCAAACATAAATATTAAATTTAAATATCAAGCAGTGCACCTCTTGAAATATATTTTCAACTGTAAATTAAAACAAACTGAAATTCTTAAAAGAGAGACAAATTATCCCAGAAGGAGGTTAAACTCAAATAGACTGGAGCCAGAATTTAAAAAGGTATTATTTTTTAATGAAACTCTCGGGTTTTTGGGATAAACATCTGTATATCCACCAAATTGCCTTATACCCAATCTGTGAAAACTGGTTTCTGATATTGACAAGACCCTGGCTTATTTTGGGCTCTGAGTGAAAATAATTAAAGTAGTTTTCATGAAGTAAGTGGGTTCATGAGACAATTGTAACAAACTTCTCTTGTGCATGAACCTCACCCCATTAAGCTCGTGGTCTTCACAGCTGGACATCATCTTACCTATCTTTCTGTTTAGCCAAACCTTCATCACTTATCCAGTGTTTCATTCCAGTCTAAAACATTAAAAAAACATATAAAGTGACTTTTATTTTGACAACTCCCTTTTCTTTATTACTTTCATGTTTTTCTAATAATTTTGCTCAATTCTGAAAATATTTCTGAACAAATAAGTTAATTAAGTCCTTTGTATGAAATTGCTAAGCTACTTTGAGGGTTTGGCACTGTTGACGAAGATGAATTATTTTTTTTTATTAACCAGACTTCCATTTCCTTCCCTTATATTTGGAAAATTATAGAAACTGAAATGTTTGAAAGGAAACGAATGTGGACAAAAGTCTATGGATGTAAAAACCTTAATTGATCAGAGCACAGTAAACATCTTAGATTAATGAAGAAGAATGAATTTGAAAATTTTGTTGATCCATTTGGCCGGATAACCCTTGTTATGGAACGATGAACAAAAGTAGAATGAACTGTTTTTTAAAATTGAAGAGTCGGCCATCCCTAACTACTTACAGGAAAAATAGTTTAACCTGTCCTACATCTGGTATACCTCAAATAACACCCACAATCTCTGATTTTCTAATCTCTATATCTGTGCAACCCAATGTTGTATGATTTTAGATATTTCAAACTGTGTATTCTGTTAGATCAAATAATCTAAATTTCAATTATAAAAATGTACATAATCAGGTTGCAAAGATATAGGGATCAGGAAACTGAAGTTTGTGGCATAGACTCAATTCCATTGAACCATTAATTCAAAATACAAGATTAAGGAAAGACTTTAATTGATGAGTCAAATTTGAACCTGCGGTAGGCAGTTTAAATTTATTAACTTTAGTTCCATGAAGAATTTCCTACCTTTTTTGGTATTTCATCGTTTACTTTCTTGCTAGATTTTCTTAAATGAAATGCATAGGTTTGGAGCACAACTTCCAAGAAAGGCATCATAACACTGAATAAAGGCCAATTGCTTAGTTTTAAACAACTTGATGATACATTATTTTTAAGTTTTTATAAAATATAACTTAATCTTGAAAATTGTCCTTATTAAATCTATGTATTTTGTTAACTATAATATTAGGTGCTTACCTAACTATCATCCATAGTTGTACCATGATGTAACTTGTAGTCTTTGCATACTCCTTCCCTATTTCAACCAACCTAAATTCATTAATTTTAACTTGACAATGTAGGAGAATCATGAGAATGGTACCATTTGATTAAAGTACAAAATAACTGTGAACTAAGCTTGGAGCTGGCCAGTAGATGATGGTTTCTGTATGGTTATTTAAAAAAAACATTTACTAGTGGTTCTAAAAATCCAACCATGCCCAGCCTTATTAACATCTTATTGGAAAGTTTTGCACCCTCTTATCTTCTATATATGAAAAACTCTTTGCTCATATGCATTTATGTATATATACATGTATGTTAGGTATAGCTGAACCAAATTGGGGTGACATAGACTGAAAACTATTTTGGAAATTTTTGAAATTTTATGGGGAACACCATTCACAATTTAATACCACGTTTCATTAACCAGTTGGAGTAGCTATGACTATGCATAAAGATATAAACCTGGGCAGCATAAAGCACTGCAGCTAGTGATTTATATCAGGATATGTACTGCTTATTAGGAATAACAAAACTTACATGGTGACAATAACCAGAACAATGGTCAGATTAACCCCTAGTGCAGCTTCAAATGCTTCTTCTTCAAAAAAGATGGTCAGATATCCTAGGGTATTCGCTACCATAGTTGGTAACATTGTTCTAACAACAAACCCAGATAGTTGTCTACCAAATACAATTTGTATGCTTAAGCCATCATCAGATGTGTGCATTCTCCTACTGCAGTTTTAAACAAGGTTTAAATCCAAAGATAAAAATGTAAAAAATAATGTAAATTGTTTTAAGTGAAATTTTGAAAGAAATAGTTTTATTAATTCTCTGTTCCTGTCCAAACATTATTAATGTAACCTTTCATTATTTTTTTCTTGAATTCGGGAAACATTTGTAATACTACCTTTTTACATATAATTCTAATAAAGTTTATAGTTTTAAAAGTATTGCCTGTAAATGGAGTACTGGTTTACATCATCTGACCCTTGATTGGTTAGAATTGCAGGGTTCAATCTAAAAGCTCAGATAATGAACACACAATAGAAAGTTCAAATGTCTTGTGTTTAATGGACAAATTTTATTTTTACATTTAGTTTACGTTTTTACATTTCTAAAAATATTCTGGTGCCTTGATATTTTCAGTTAAATGATAAAATGAAAGTGGTTTTACTTTGAGAAATTTTTTGCATGTTTTTGTAAGTTAATTTTCATTAAGTGTAAATTTATTTAATTTTTATTTTAAATTTAAATGTTTTACAGTAAGCATTGAAATTCTGCATGAATTTGTATGTAAAACAATATAAAAAACTTAAGGCTTCAAAATTAATCAACTTTTTCTATAAAACAATTTCTCAACTTAAAATATCACAAAATTTCCTTTTTGATAATTTAAATGTTACCGTGCTGAAAAGTTCTGATGGTGTATCAAGGAGAAGTTTAAACTACAAGTTTGAATATCAAAGGGGGACATAGTCATGTCAAAATTGCAAATAAAAGTATAACTTTTTATGCATCTTTGAAGTAGGACAAATGTATCACTGCCAAATACTCGTTCATTGGATACATGATTTAATTTGAGAGTTGTAAAATTTGGTTTTGTCATCTCCACCAATACAACATTCTTCTCATTCTCCTCCCGATAGTATATGTTTATATCATCATAATACAACTCAGGAGTCCAAATTGCTTCTATTTCTTCAACTGTCAGCATATTTTGTGATCTATGCTCCTTTAAGTTGGCAAAGGTGAGACCAGAGTCATTCCACTCCAGCAAAACCATCATTTTTGCTTTAATTTCTTGGTTTACTTCATCAATGTTTAAGATGTCAATAATTGTAACAGAAACATTTACTGATAGACGCTGATCATTTTCAGCAGTTGTAAAGAAAGCATCTTGCTTGGGGGCCAGTTGTTTATTATATCCTGGCTTTTGTCGCAAAATGTTGCAATCAACTTCATCTGATCCATCCCTACAGTCTGTTTCATGGTTGCACCTTTTTTCAAGCCGAATACAAAAACCATCATTACAAGTAAATTCCTGAGCAGAGCAAAAAGAGAAACTGACATTAAAATCTCTTAAATCACAAGATTTATCTCTCAAGGTCACCCATCCATTTAATCCAAAAAGATAAGTATCTCCACTTGCTTTAATGTGAGCATTACTCATGTCATGTATATTGGATGCAATCCATACTTGTTGATCAGAGCTGAACTTGATAATTGTTCCAGTACTCCCCACATAAATAAAATGGTCCATACCCATCATAGGTTTATATACCTTGTCAAACTCACTACCATCACAGAGACCTCTGGAGTAATAAAATTTATGAAAAATTATGACAATTTATTATGTTTTACCTCAGGGTTAATGTTAAGTTTGACCAAACTTTTAAAAATGAAGATCTCTTGTGATCACATGGGTTTGCAAAAATACATTCATCATACATAAGACATCTTCTAGCCAGTTTGGTTTTGGCAGGACTACCAGAACACCAATTAGCAGTTTTAGGCAGAGTGCCATTAGTATAGATATTGAAAAATGATTGAGTTCCATTTGTTTCTATGTAGGGAAAATAAATTTTTTGATCTGTTAGATTGTTTGAATCTATATCTACAATTTCACCACCACCAAGTTTTTCTACAAGCCTCAAAATATCATCGAAATTCAGTTCAAATTCTGCAAATAAACTAGTAGTTTCTCCACAAATGTCCTCTATGTTTGTTTCTTTTGTCTTTATAAGATTTGGATATTTTGTCTCAAAACTCCAGTCAGAGGCATTCCAGGCATAGATATCTCCAGGACCCCTACATACAGGAGTTACATCTGTACTGTAAACATTGAGGTTTCCAAATTTGCCTGGGATATTCCATTGTTTTATGACCATAGAATATTTGGTCAGGGGTTGTGGATAGTTCCCATGGTAAGTTTGGTTGAAGTTAAGCTGTGGCACAGAAACCCAATTACGTCCTGTCCTTGTGTTGATATACTCGCAAATGGTCATCCAAACAGGAGCATCAAATTTTCCAGCATTTAAATATAGATTACTAAAAATGTATAGTTTTTAACAATTTTTTTGTTGGTTAGCTCAAATAATTGCTCTAAATTGAAATATAAATTGAAGTAAGTTGATGTAAAAAAAATCATCTCGTGGACTCTAAAATCTTATTTTTAAAAGTCAAAATTAACATGAGGAAACAATTCTTTCAAAGAGAATCTAAAAATGATATCAACTGTTTTTAATTGTAATGCTAACCTTCCTGAAGAATCTGGTAGGCTTACAAACAATGAACATCCATTAATGGAACATTGAGATATTTCAAACCACAAGGTGAAATTACCAGGGCGGGTAGGTGAGAATGTGTTGTATGCTTTACTACCCAAAAAGAAAACAGAATAGCACATGATAAATTCTTCTTTTACCATAAAAGGAGATATCAAAGCTGGGAGACTGACTGAAATAAAAAAAATCAGTGATTCTCCTTGTCATATGCACTAATAATGATGCCCCTTTACGTAAAATTCAAAATTAATAGTGCAAAAGAACTCATGGTAAGGATGTTACCAACATGCGGGTAGATGTACCTGATTTAAAAATTTACCAAGAAAATCAAGAAATTTATGAAACTTGTCATTTCAATTTTTTTTTAGTATTTTTCAATGCTTTTTTATAGATACCAATACCTTTACACTCACCATTCAAAGTGGCACCTTTCAAAGCAGTTGTGTTTTTGTCAAAAGCAGTTTGAATAAGTAGATCCATGTAATCTATGACCTTTACAGAAGTAGCTTCTACATTAGAAGCCCCTATGCCAGAAGACTCTACCAAAATGGCTGTTGCTAGTAGAAGTAACATCACTTCATCCAATGCAATTGTTTTCTTCTTCATCTTAATATATTTTTTTGGAAATTAATCACTATGAAAAAAATTGTGTTTTGCTCTGCTATTTCCTGTTTTTTTCTTTTTCATAATTTCACACTTCTTCATAAGATTTTATGATTAAGAAAGGCAGTTTAGATTACTTGTGGAATGGTGTTCCTTTCTCTTTAAATAAAAGTGATATACATAGGGCTTGGCACATTCCTGGTGGAAAGATAGTTCTTTCCCTAGAACGAACGGAACTATCAAGAACGATCCCATCGTTCCGAAAAAAAAATGAACTCTTAGAACGCGTTTTGAAAAATATTGGAACGATTAGTGAAAGAACAGAACGCAAACAGGAATTGCTTGAAAAGAACAGTTAAAATATAATTTAAAGTATTATTTATGGCCGTGAGGAACTTTTTATTAAAAAATCGTAATTTATTTACTTTTTAACCAACTCTTTTCTATAAAACTTTTGTCTTGGATGGAATTGTTCGTTACTAAGAACGGAACAGGGGATGGAAACATTCTTGATTAAGAACAGAACAAAAGGGATGCAACTGTTCTTCAACTAAGAATGCCAAGAACGGAACGGAACGGGAAGAACGCTCTTCTACTCAGAACAGAATGGAACGGGACGGAACAGAATGAGAACAGAACAGAACAATTTAGCTGAAGGCCCTTTTTCTAGGACGGAACAGAATGATTTAAAAAATGTCGGAACATGCCCAGCCCAAGATATACACTTAAAAATGAAATAATTTTATTAGGGTTTCCAGTTGTAATTATGTTATGCATAATTACAAGTAATCACTGGTTCGGTGTCAAAATACTTTCATTTTGATCTTAAATAAACTAGAAAAAATAAAAATCCTGGCAAAAACCTTTTCGCACTTAATAATACCCATTACAATGACATTAATAGATATTATTTTATTATGAAAATAAATTGTTGGCCCATTGATAAACTTTAATTTGAATGTAAAATGTGAAAATTACATTATCAAAGTATTGGCTGAAATACTTCAAAATTTCACAAAATTACGTCGTAATAAATCGAAATTTAAGTTTTTCTAAAAAGGCACAATAATTGCAAAATTTTGCGAACTTACTCAGTAACTTTGTGAAATTGAGGTTGCGCTAATTATGCTAAATTATTTCAAAATTTCACGAAATAACTTTGTAGAAATTACGCAAAATTACGCAAAATTATGCCGTAATTTCCAGAAAATGAATTTTAGCTAAAAGCACATAATTAGTGAAAAATTTTTGTAAAATTACTTGGAAGAAATTGCGCGACATTAATCCATAATTTCGCAAAATTGAAGTTTTGCTAATTATGAATAATCAGGGGGCGGGCATAACTCTTCTAATTTTGCCTGGCTAGGTTTATACTGTACAGTGAATTTTGTCGAAAAATGTTTCCTCATGACTGAGTTGGTATCATAGAGTACAGTGGGTTTAATCCTAAGGACATCTATTTGTACGGTATTGTGTGGACAGTTAATTTTAATATTCTTCAACAATGAGATATTGTAGTGTCAAAAGTTGTGTAAACAACGATGTTTCGGGTTCAGAAATTTTTCATAACATACGAAAAGAGAAAATCTGACAAGTGGAAGTGGGTCAAAACAAAGATTTAGTTTGTTACAGGAAAAAGCAGCAGAGGACTCAGGCAGTTAGTATTAAAGGGAGTGTTTGCGAAAAATTAAAGGGGGTATAGGCTTAATGCGATAAAAAAGCGCTTTTGATTGTTACTAATCTTATTTCTATTTGTTGCGTCTATAAGGAGAAAATTGTTAAAGACTTCTCATACCGAAGAGCGTAGCGCCCACACAAATTAAGAAGATTGCAACATACGACTTAGACCGTAAAAAAATCAATTTAATTTCAAACAAATCATTCAGATTTTACAACCTATAGTCATCGATTAACTTTCGCCACATTTGTATATAGTTTATATTTCATAATATTTTTTAATTAATTTGTTTTGAATTTGATTATTTCTCTTGTCGCTTGCGCTTAACTATAAAGAATGCCGCGCACCAGTCACATTTTTCGAAATCCATTAAAAACGTTTTCTAAAAAAAGAAATATAAAAAATATTATAAAATATAAACTATATAAAAATATGTGGCTAAAGATAATCGATGACTATAGGTTGTAATATCTGAATGATTTGTTTGAAATTATATTGATTTTTTACGGTCTAAGTCGTATGTTGCAATTTTCTCAATTTGTATGGACGCTAAGTTATTCGGTATGAGACGTCTTTAACAATTTTCTCCTTATAGACGCAACAGATAGAAGTAAGATTAGTAGCGATCAAAAGCGCTTTTTCATCGCATTAAGCCTATACCCCTTTTCATTTTTCGCGAACACTGTATGTAGGAAAAGTCAGAAAATTTCAACAGCCTCAGACCAATACTTTTTGAGTTATGTTATTTATAGGAATAGGGAGCACCTAGCCAAGGAGAAGAACTTAAATGTAAAGAAAAATGGATTGCGTCTAAAGCGTTCAAACTGGTGCTCCTACAAAACCAATAGATTATTTATATTTAAAAATCACTTGTTTCATGTTAAGTTCATTTATGTAAAATAAATATTTTAACAGTTTTCAGTTCTTCAATAACTTTAAAATTGAGTCTGACCTAATTTAGATCTATTATTAGTTCAGAATTGCTTTTTATTCTAAAAGTCAGAAACCTATATACCCAAGAGTTAATGTACAATGTAGATTTCAGAAGTAAAGAATTTGATAAGAAACAAGATGTTATTAAGGAGAAGGATTTTTTTTCTCTATTCGTCATGTCTCATTTTTATACAAAAATCATATGGGCTTGTTTTCTTTGCTTGAATATTGTAGGCTTCACTTTCAAACAATAATGTCTTAAAACACTGATCTACGAATTAAGATCCCCCCAGGTAGAATTTCTGATCGGGTCATTGTGTACAGTGGCTGCACAAGAAGAAGTCTAAAATTCCAGATTACTAATATCTCGATGTGAATAATCCTGAAAAATTATGTAAAATCAAATAATTTTGTGTAACTGCGCAAAATTTCCTGTAAGTAAATAATCAATTACATTGAAAACCCTAATTTTGATGTCCCAGTAGAGCATGCATGGAAAGTTCTGAATTTTTAAGATCCATTACAAAATTAGAATGAATAATTTATATGTTGAGGGATTTCATAATAACTTAACAACTGAAATGATAAATAAGTTATGCAACGTGTTATGATCAATGTAGCCTATTTTTGCATAACTTTGCATATTTTTTTTGTAAAACTTTATATATTCAAAATATCTAAACACATTTAAATTACACCATATACATGTATGTACATTTATCTTTGTGTTAGAATAAATCTCTTTATAATAATAATTATTTTAAGAATTTAGTCTATTCAAAGAAACAAAAGTCCCATTTATAAACTGTGTTATTTTGTGGAAATAAAAATAATTTTTTTTAAAATGAAGTATTTCTAATTTCTGTTTTTCTAATCCTTTGCAAGCTTTTAAAAAGTTAAAAAATAATCAAGTTTTTATAGAAATGTAAATAGTACAATATTTGTGTCATTCAACGTAATATAAAGTGGCCTGGCACTTAAAGAGTTCAATGACATATTCACACAAAGGGGTAAAAGTTGCAGACATTGTTGTTGAATATCTTTAACCCTATCCCTGCTGGGGTACTTGAAAACCAGGATACGCTGGGGGGGGTGTCAATTTGACCCCCCCCTCTAAATCCCATGTTTTATGTCCAAATATGACAAATGATACATCATTAGAAAGCTCTTGTGCTCTACTTTTAGAATCTGCAAAAAAATTTGCAAATTTGCGAAAATTGAATTTTTTATCGCAAAATCCAGTTTTATAGTAAAAATGTTTGCAAAAAAAAATTTGTCCAAAAAATGACAAATTATACATTTTTGAAAAG